AGATATAATACCATTAAACAATTTCTCACAACGGGAGTTATCTCTGTTGACTACGTGATGTCAAAAGATAACGTAGCGGCTGCTAACTCGCTAACCCGAGGGTAAGCAAATGGTTGTGGAGAAGTTGGAACGAGGAATGGGTCTAAAGCCCTTGGACTAAAAGTTCTATAGTGGATACCCAACCTAGCTGACACCTAGGTTCAATGGGACAACTAAATTATGGAACGGAGCGTGTCACTGTGGGGGTCTCGGACTCCCTACCACTCCTCGTTAGAAACAGTGACTCCCGCGTAAGGTTAGCATGTTGATGCTTTAATGATTCGAATGTCGGTTGACATGTGTGAGTATGCGGGATACTCGGAAAAAAAATCACCTATGTGAGAGAGAAGTGAGGGTCGCTTCAAAGGAGAATTGATGGGCACAATTCTTCACAAACTCTTGCAGAACCAGGACGGTGACCCACGACCAAAATGGGCACAATCATGAGAACAGAGCATGGTTGGGAGATTCCTGTGTGAGATATGTCATCGTCTGCACAAACGGCAGTCGGTTCAAAGACATCGCGTTCTACCGTACAGCCAGTAGAGTAAACATGTCTTTACAAGGGAAGGTTCAAAGGGTATAGTGATCCCTACCTATCCTATGCAGGGATCGACCATTGAACACAGTTTGTTTCCGATTTCAAAATACCCTGAAAATCAATTTTTCATTCATGTGGGGGATTGTTGGAAAAATAGCATTAAAATGGCATTTTGAGTGATTATTTTGTGGTACAAATATATGTGGGATCCACTTCCGATTTGGGTCGGGTCAATGTGGATTTGGGTTCTTCGTAGTAAGACGAAGAATTTGATATAATGTACGCTCAAATTGGGTAATAGGTGAATGAGAAATTGATTTTCAAAGTAAACCTATTTAGGAGAAGTCCAAAGTACGAAAGCTTAATAAATGGGAATTGAGTTTTAGCCCAATTCGTGCCACTGCTTTCAGTCCTGTACGAAAGTTAGCTAAATTGTAGTTAAGCTTTGTTTTGGAAGCTTAAGTATGTTAATTAACTTAAGAGCTTAATTAAGCTTTGAAAGTTACATGGACGAAAGTTGGCATATGCATGGACGAAAGTTGGAACATGCATGGACGAAAATTGGAACATGCATGGACGAAAGTTGCATGGACTTCAAAACTTAAGTCTCGTGCTTCTTTCGTGGCTCCTAGATTCGTGTGCAGCACGAGTTGGTGCTTTATGCATTGATTCGTGCTGCACCGTTTCGGTGCTTGCGGACCACTCGGGTGTGGTTTCCGGTCCCAATTTGTTAAATTTTTGGGTTTGTACGGACTTCTCGGTCACTCAGATATTTTTGAAACTAGTCGTTATGGTCGGTACGAATTAATCGTATATTAAGTTCGTGACCGTTTATATTATTTCGATAATAAGTACGACCGTTTCAAACGTTATAATTCAATTTTTTAAATTGAATTTATGTTGGGTTTTATGTGCCATGAATATGCTATTAAATCCTAATCTCCTATATAAGTTCATAGTAGGAACAAGTGATTTACAACGTGAGGGAAGAGCTAGAGAGACACAACACACAAAGATAAGCATTTTTTCTTCTAAAAACTTTGCTCCTACTCCTTTCTTGCTACTGTGTTTTGCCCGTGCTCTTGTTCGCCGGGTTCGTTCGTTTGGGTGCTCAAACGTCGAACCGTTGTACATTTTATCCTGGGAAACCTAGGCCACAACGCTCCTAGCACTTTTGGGAGGTGGCAAATAAGGTTTTAAGGAAAGACAGGCACTTTGCCTAACTCGTACGAATCTTTCTTCCTTCTCCTTCTTTCTTGTTTTGGATTATGCTCTAAGCAAAAATCCGTTCTTTCTTGTTGTTTTGGAATTATAATCTAAGGATTATATTTTCTTTTTGGTTGATATATATTGGTATATCTTTTTCGTAGATATACATGTATATATAACCGTTGGGTCCGTTTTATATATATTTGTGTGTATATATATATTTCGGATATATATCCAATAATATTTTTTATATATTTCGTGTGTATATATATAAATATTATTTTACGGATATTAAATCGATTGTGGTTCATTATCACCAACAGACGCGACGTCCGTTCAATCGTTACAGTTTTATTTTTTGTGTTTATGTGTATTATGTTAAGAGTTTATGTGTATTATATTTAGAGTTCATGTGTATTATGTATTATGTTAGATTATGTGTATTATGTTAAGAGTTGATGTGTATGCTACTATATAATTTTGTAAATACGAAACAAGAAAATTTTTAGGGCTTACAATGCATTGTGCACCCTGGTGCACAATATAACAATTGGTTTCTCTCACGTGAGGAGCAATATGCTGTGCAACCGTGTGCACCATGCAAGGTGCACACGGAATTGGATCCATAATTTCTATACTATAGATCCATAATTTATATACTATAAATACATAATTACTATACTGTAGATTCATAATTGCTATACTATAGATTCATAAATTCTAAATTGTATAGTTATCAAATTATGAATATATAGTTCAGTGATTTGTGATTACAGAGTTCAACAATTAGGAATATGAACATTAAAAATTATGAATATAGAGTTTTGTAATTGTGAATATAGAGTTCAATAATTATGGATTCATAGTATAGAAATTATGAATCTACAGTATAAAAATTATGGATCCAATTCCGTGTGCATCATGTAGGGTGCACACAGTTGCACAGCATAATTTGGCCTAACGTGCAGCCTAGTTTCAAAGCTGGTTTTGTTGGACTGGACTGATTTTCTTTATAGAAAGAGTTGAACTGAACCTTCTAGGTCAGGACCAATCATAGGCTCAGGCCCCAAGTCACTTTGGGCCAAGCCTAAACCAGATGGACCATATTGAGAATCCATTATCCAAGAATGTGTGTAAGATGAGACTTTTTAAGACTATCTTTATCCTGGTAAATCTCTCACTTTCAAAAATAAGTCACACGTTCACATCATTCAATTTACAAATCATTTACTATTCACATTACATCCTGGCCTACAAATCTAACTTATTTTTAAAAGTGGACCTTAATATCACATCATTTAAAACATTAATAACTAAATATAATAAAAGAAAAGAAAAGAAAACAAACTAAGTAAATAAACAAAATAAAAAATAAAAAATAAAGTACAAAAGCTGCCCCAACAGTAGTTGCGGCGGCAGCTTTGTACGGATTGCAAATTTGCAATCCAACTCATCATTAAAAAAATGTTTATAACAATTGCCATGTCATCCTGCCAATGTTAAATTGGCAGGGATAATTTAAGCCTAAGTCTATCATATTTGCAACAACAAAACCTATCTACAAATATGAAATCTCTCTTCTCAAGAATTTTCATATTTTAACTTGATAGGATCGTAAGGAGGTAAATGATTGTGACTTAGTGGGCATTAAGTGAGAAGCAATTTATATTATGAACCATAGTTTACATTGAAATGTGCATCATTGATAAATGTTCATTTTTAGTATACTGTAAGTTTATTTTTAAGTATGATGGGGTGAGGACCCCGGCCCAAAAAGAAGGGCCCAAGAGAGAAGGGCCCAAGAGAGAAGGAGCCCAAGATAGGAGGTAAGGGTTAGTAAAGGAAGAAGCTCGATGATGGCCTGGGCCGAATCCAGGAGTCGGCCCAGGCCCAAAACTCGGCTCAGGAGCCGGTAAGAGGCATTCAAGTCGGTCTAAGAGCCGTTGAGGGAACACTCAATGCGGCATTCAAGAGGACTCGGTCAAAAGGGCCGTTAAGAGGCCAAAGAGTCGTTGGACGACTCGGTAACAGCGACCGAACGGTCTGATAGTGTAATTAGCCTTGAAAGCAATGTTTAATGTACTTCAATTCGGATGGAGGGGAGCCATCTATATAAAGGCCTCTCCACCCTTGTAAGAGGGAGGCGAGTCCATGCCCAGACACACGCACTTCCTAGAGGCTTGATTATCTATCTTTGCGATCACTTTTTGAGAAAGGTGAATCTACCAACCAAAGGTTGTGTTGGACCTCCTTGGGCCCGAATACCCAAAAACCAACACTGGCGCCGTCCGTGGGGATCGAACAAAGAGCTACGTGACTCTCTGAGCAAGGCGAGTCCCAAAGTCGACCGAAGAAGCGTCACGAACATGTCGGAAGGACGAGACCAAGCGAACAACTAAAACGGCGGAATAGAGGCAGATCTAAGAGAGCAGTTGAACCAACGAAATGCTCAAAGTCAAGGAAACGAAACGGCACCGGTGAACCGGCAGCCACCCATGATACCCCTCACCCCGGAACAACTCCACGCGATCGGGCGAGCCTTCGCCGACGCAAGTCGAGGAGTGAGGGAGCAGTCAGTTTCCCGACCGATGCCTCACCATCAACAACCGTCCCAGAGGCCGGAAGACAGACAAGAAAATCGACGGGCAAAGAGCCAGCCAGTACGATCAGTTCATTCAAGGCTGGGTCCGAATGCTAGGCGGCAGCCTGCACGAGAACGACTAGGAGAAAGGGAGCCCGACCGCGCACCAGCAGGGCCCCAAGATCGGGAAATCAGTCGGGGAAGGGCTAGCACCAGGAGAACTAAGACTCTGACACGACGGACCGAGCGCGTAACGCGCAACGATGACCGACCGGCTGAATCCGAGGTCGGCGAAAGTACAGAATCCACAGGAAACCACACTCGCAATGAAGGCGACGTGGCCCAATTGGCCCGAGAGGTACGAGATCTGAAAGAACAAATGGGGGGAAAGACCAAATCCCCCGGGCAGACGTTGCTCACTGCTTTGTCATTCTCTTCCGAGATCATGTCCTACAAAGTACCCGGCGACTTCAAATTTCCGGAACAAGCCACCTTCGACGGATCCGGAGACCCACGGGAACATCTGCTTAGCTATCAGGCCAAAATGCAGGTCTTGGGAGTGCGAGACCCGGTGATGTGGAGCTGCCTCCCAAGTCGATTCACAGTTTCGAGGAGTTAGCCGATCGCTTCATGAGCCATTACGCGGCCAACATCAAGCCACAGAAGGACCTGACTCACCTGGGAGATGTCCACCAAGAGGAAGGCGAGTCCCTGAAAGCCTACTTGGTTCGATGGCAAAAGGAGATTCAGTCTATCGAGGAGGTCGAAGATCAGACCGCACTCACTTTTTTCATCGAGTCTTTACGATCCGGGCAGTTGTATCGGGACCTGCGGGATAATCGCCCGACTACCTACGCGGAAGCCATACACATGGCCAATAAAAGGGCTAACACGGAGCAGGCCATGAAGCATAAGCGACAACGCGAAGTCGGAGGATCCGTCGGCGGAAAGAGGACCCGCGCGGAAACCAAGGAAAGGCGCCCAGAAGGGGATCGGCGACCCGAGGCTAGACGTCCCTATGACAAGCCTATGGTCCATCCCTACCGGGCTGTTCCTCAGCACCCGGTGCATGAGGTTCAAGCGGTCGCTCCGCCTCCGCCCCCGCCGATCGACGAGCGTATGGCGAGTGAAGAGACAGGTAAGAACTCTAAGTACTGCCGCTATCATAAGTCTTACACTCATAGTACGGAAGAGTGCTTCTACTTGAAAAAGGTCATGGAAGGAATTATCCAGCAAGGGACCTCACCTCCTAATCAGTGGAGGCGAAGGTCAGTAGCACGAGAGGACGATGATCCCGCGGTCACCGCCGAGAATAGCCGCGGCAAGTGGTCAGCCACTGAGGAGGACGAGGCCCAGTGGCGTCAAAAACCAGTCATTAACATGATAGTCGGCGGGCCGGAGGGCGGCGACTCGGCGAATACCAGAAAGGCCTAGGCTCGACAACTATACGTCGGAACAGTATATGGGCGTGAAGAAAGCTCGAAGAAAGTGTGCCGAGAGTCGATCACGTTCACTGACAAAGATTTGCTCACGGGAGAGACACCGCATCGAGATGCGCTGGTCATAGCGATGGACGTAAACGGAGTGGTCGTTCGACGAATCCTGGTCGACACCGGAAGCAGTGTCAACGTACTATACCTCGAGACTTTCACAAAGATGGGATTGACTCGAGAACAGCTGAATCCGGTCAAAACACCGCTCGCCGGTTTCACAGGAGACTCGGTGGAAGCAGAGGGGTCCATCACCCTGCCAGTGGAAGTCGACAGCTATCCCGACATGCAGCAGCTCAGCATGAAATTCATCGTGGTAAACTTAGTTTGCTCACACAATGCTATACTCGGCCGACCAGGCCTGGAGGATTTGGGAGCACTGATCTCCATCGAGCCTTTGCTTGAAATTCCGCACGCCAAACGGGATAGGAACGGTGCGTTGCGATAGAAGAGTCGCCCGCGACTACTACCTGCAAGCCTGTAGGGGGATGGGCAAACGTGGAATGCAAGTCCACGAAATCACGGAAAAGCCCCCAAAGAAAGCAATGATACCCCGCCCGGAACCGGCCGTGGAATTGGAAGAAATCGAAATCGACCCTGAACGGCCGGACAGGCGGGTCAGAATTGGTGTCGGTCTCCCCGAGGAGACTCGGGAGGAAATTATCCAAGTACTCCAAAAACATCGGCTGGTCTTTGCCTGGGGGCCAGAAGATATGCCAGGTGTCAACAGGTCCATCATCGCCCACCGACTCGCCGTGGATCCGGACCATCGGCCGGTTGTACAGAAAAAGCGGTATCTCGCCAATGACCGAAGGGAATTCGTAAAGAAAGAGGTGGGCACGCTGCTAGCTGCGAGCCACATCCGAGAGGTTAAATACCCGGAGTGGTTGGCGAACGTGGTCCTCGTACCGAAACCCCCAGCGTGGCGGATGTGCGTGGATTACACTGATCTTAACTAAGCCTGCCCAAAGGATCCGTTCCCCTTGCCACGGATTGACCAGCTGGTCGACGAGACGGCAGGGTCGGCCCTGCTGAGCTTTATGGACGCCTTTAGGGGATATCATCAGATTTTCATGCACCCGGCCGACGAGGAAAAAACCGCGTTCCTTACACCAGACGGGGTGTATTGTTACCGAGTTATGCCCTTCGGACTCAAGAATGCTGGGGGCACCTATACTCGGATGGTAGCTCGGCAATTCCAAGACTTACTGGGCAAATCCATGGCGGCCTACGTGGACAACATGTTGGTCAAAATCAAAGAAGAGGCCAAACACGCGGAGGACCTGGCCGACTGCTTCCAAGTGATGCTAAGGTATAATCTCCGATTGAACCCGAAGAAATGTGCCTTCGCGGTGCAAGGCGGACAATTCTTAGGATACATGGTGACTAAACGAGGCATCGAGCCCAACCCGGAAAAGGTCCAGGCCATCATCGATATGCAGCCTCCCAGCACCGTCAAAGATTTGCAACGATTGACTGGTCGACTGGCTGCCCTCAGTCGCTTCTTAAGTAAGGCGGCGGACAAGACTATACCATTCTTCGAGGCCATGAAGAAGATGGAAGGTTTTGCCTGGACGACCGAGTGTCAGCAATCGTTCGAGGAGCTAAAATAGTATCTTTCCACACCCCCGATGTTGTCCACCCCACGGGAGGGTGAGCCTTTGTTTTTGTACTTAGCCGCCTCCCCCAAGGCGGTGAGCTCGGTGCTGGTTTGGGAAGAAGAGCGTACCCAGCACCCGGTATATTACGTAAGCCGCTCCCTGAAAGCCGCTGAGACACAGTACACAGCCTTGGAGAAGATCGTCTATGCACTGGTGATCACCGTGCGCAAGTTAGCGCCCTACTTCCAAGCCCATACTGTCCGGGTACTAATTGATCAGCCGTTGGGGAGCATACTGCGAAACCCCGCATCGTCAGGACGACTGGTAAAATGGGCCGTGGAATTAACCCAGTACGGGATCGAGTATCAACCGCGACCTTCCATAAAAGGACAAGCCCTGGCCAATTTCCTGGTCGAATGCACAGCAAGGGAAGAAGAGAAAGAGCACACCACGGAAGACCGTTCCGGTGAGTGGTGGGAGATGCACGCGGATGGAGCGGCGAGTCGACAACACTGTGGAGGCGGAATCATGCTAGTCACTCCAGAGGGGTTCCGACTTTACTACGCCCTGAGCTATTTGTTCCCGACGTCTAATAACAAAGCCGAGTATGAGGCTGTGCTGGGTGGCCTTCGACTCGCCAAGGCATTGGGAGTAGAACGATTGCGGATCAAAACTGACTCCCGGTTAGTGGTGGGACAGATTTCCGGCACCTGCGAAGCTAAGAACGCCCGGATGACCCAGTATAAGGAGAAGGCGATAGAAATGCTGAAAGAGTTCGGAACATATGAAATAGAGCATATCTCCCGGGTGGACAACATCGAGGCCGACATATTATCGAAAAACGCTTTAGAAGGAATACCGGATCACCTCGCCAAGATTTGCCAAAAGGAAGAGTTAAGTCATCCGAGTATAGAGGAAACACCATTGGAGGTCCAACAGGTAAATATCGAGGAATGGGATCGAGAGAAAAACCCCGAGATGTTTTGGATATAAGACATCCGGCGGTTTAAGGAAACAGGCGAATTGCCAGAGGATCTAGGAGTCGCCGCAAGGATTCGACGAAAAGCCCCTTCATTCCAGATCATTGACGGACAGATGTACAAGCGGTCGTTCGGGGGGCCCTCTTGAAATATCTACTCCGGCCCGAAGCCAAGAGGATAATGGATGAGGCGCACCGAGGGATTTGCGCCGCCCATCAGGGGGCCCATACGCTCGCCCGAAAGCTAGTCGTCCAGGGGTATTATTGGCCGACCATGATGAGAGATTGCGTGGAATGGATAGCTAAGTGTAACATTTGCCAAGCCTTCGCCCGGAAGGACAGTCGGCCGGCCACCTTCTACACGCCGGTCACCACAGCCATCCCTTTTGCTAAATGGGAAATCGATTTGTTAGGACCACTACCAGTCGCCCCGGGAAGCTTGAAGTTTTGTGTAGTGGCCATCGATTACTTCACAAAGTGGGTCGAGGCCGAGCCACTAGCCACCATCACCGAGTACCAGTGTCGGCGCTTCCTGTGGAAGAAGGTGATTTGCCGCTTCGGCCTGCCCGAGCACGTGGTTAGCGATAACTGGAGGCAGTTTGACTGCCAAGCTTTCGCCAACTTCTATCGCCGGCATAGTATACGACACACCAAGGTATCCGTCGCATACCCCCAGGCCAACGGGCAAGTCGAGAATGTGAACCGGACCATAGTGGACGGGATTCGGAAGAAGTTGGAGGACATCGGGAGAAATTGGGCGGATGAGCTCGACCGGGTCCTCTGGGCCTACCGAACTACGCAAAGACGGGCGACTGGAGAGAGCCCCTTTTCCCTAGCATATGGCTTCGAAGCCAAGGTTCTAGTGGAGGTCGTGGAGCCCACCTACCGAGTACGCAACTATTCCGACGAAGAGAATGAAGAAAGCCTTAGAATTGAAAAGAACTTCCTGGAAGAAAGAAGGGAGGTGGCGTGTGCCCAGATGGTCGAATACCAACAAGCTGTAAAAAGGTACCGTGACCGGAGGATTCGCCCACGAGCCTTCCAGGTCGGCGACCTCGTGTTGCGGGACCGGCAGGCAAGCCAGCCCACGGAAGGGGGCAAATTTGAAATTAAGTGGGAAGGACCTTATCGCATTGCATCAGTGGTGCAGGCCGGTACCTACAAGCTCGAGACCCTGGAAGGAAAACCCATAGACCAACTCTGGAATGTCGTCCATTTAAAGAAGTTCTACCAATAAAGAAGTTAGGCGTGTACTCGAGTTTTCGAAATCTAATAAAAGGACATCTTCTACCCTCGATCGTTGCCCTCCACTCGGCGAGAAAAGATAGGAAACAAGGGCCTAGACCCTTAGTCGTTTCCGAGAAAAAGCCAAAAGGAGTCACCTCGACTGAGGGACTCGGTGAGTATATAAAGAAACAACGGGGCACTGACCCTAAACCGTTTCTAAGAAAAAAAAAAGCCTAAGGAGTCGCCTCGACTGAGGGACTCGGCGAGAAAAGATAGGAAAAAAGGGCCCAGACCCTTAATCGTTTCCAAGAAAAAACCAAAAGGAGTCGCCTCGACTGAGGGATTTGGCGAGTATATAAAGAAACAACGGGGCACTGACCCTAAACCGTTTCTAAGAAAAGGAAAAGCCTAAGGAGTCGCCTCGACTGAGGGACTCGGCGAGAAAAGATAGGAAACAAGGGCCCAGACCCTTAGTCGTTTCCGAGAAAAAAGCCAAAAGGAGTCGCCTCGACTAAGGGACTCGGCGAGTATATAAAGACACAACAGGGCACTGACCCTGAACCGTTTCTAAGAAAAGAAAAAGCCTAAGGAGTCGCCTCGACTGAGGGACTCGGCGAGAAAAGATAGGAAACAAGGGCCTAGACCCTTAGTCGTTTGCGAGAAAAAGCCAAAAGGAGTCGCCTCGACTGAGGGACTCGGCGAGTATATAAAGAAACAACGGGGCACTGACCCTAAACCATTTCTAAGAAAATAAAAAGCCTAAGGAGTCGCCTCGACTGAGGTACTCAGCCAAAAAAGATAGGAAACAAGGGCCCAAACCCTTAGTCGTGTCCGAGAAAAAGCCAAAAGGAGTCACCTCAACTGAGGGACTCGGCGAGTATATAAAGAAACAACGGGGCGCTGACCCTAAACCATTTCTAAGAAAAGAAAAAGTCTAAGGAGTCGCCTCGACTGAGGGACTCGGCGAGAAAAGATAGGAAACAAGGGCCCAGACCCTTAGTCGTTTCCGAGAAAAAGCCAAAAGGAGTCGCCTCGACTGAGGGACTCGGCGAGTATGTAAAGAAACAACGGGGCACTGACCCTAAACCGTTTCTAAGAAAAGAAAAAGCCTATGGAGTCGCCTCGACTGAGGGACTC